TGGGCATGGAAAACAGCACTTCTCTTCGGCAACGATGGTTCGGCATACGGAACACATGTCCTAACCAACACAGCTCCTGATACTAGACACATTGGTAGAGGGATGGGATGGAATTTGGTTCACCAGTAATTTGAATTAAAACGGGAATTTGACGTGAGACTTTCAGGAAGCGGAAAACAAGTGAGAGGATGTTGGACTTCCACGAGAATTCCTCGCATTGGATAAACGACGGATTTCGAGCGCTTTGTATCAGGGCCTCAATAAATCATCTACAACGCTTCTTGATGAACGTCTCATTGATGAAAAGCAGATGAGGTGAACTTCTTTGTTTTGGAATCCTAGAATTTGGCACTTTGTGTATTCGCTGGTATGCTTGACTCACGTGACCTGAATTCAGCAGGTTATTTTGTTCGGTTCATTCTGTTCACGAGACAAAACAGAGGCCATGTCCGGATGGAGTAAGAAGTGAGGTCCATTATTTGGCTTTGTTTAAACGTCTTATAATTCCAATTATTCAAGGAAATCCTTACCAGTATTAATGATTTTAATATCCGAGTGTACATATCTGGGTGAGAGTATAGATCACGGACGATGGTGATAAGATAATTTTGGATTCTTCTTAGTGCACTTCAAACATTCGATGACAGAGGATGATAATAACTGTTGCACAACTAATTGAAGTTAGCAATCAGGATAAAATTCAAATGAAGATAACTGCATAACGTTTGCACAGCAGGAATGCAGTTCAGTGACAGTTCGACAGGCAGTCGTAGACCATGCGTTACCCAAGACAGTGAAGCGGGCATCTAGCCGTAGGCAGCTGCGGGATTTTTAGAATCAGCGCTCACAGCGCTTGTATACGGACTCACCAGGAGTGCATATCCTTGCTCGTACCGGGATTTGATATTCGGAAATCTGACATTCTAAGTGAATGTTCCACTACTAACACTTCGCTGAATCTGCCTTGTTTATCCCGTCTGAACAGGCGAACACACGTGAGTGGTATAACCGGCTTGTTCAGCGTTTGGAAATGCGACCTCGTAACCAATTAGGTTATTAAGATCGACTGACCCAACCGTCAGGAAGTCGCGATGATGGAGGTAGGGATATTGGAGATATATTGAGCGAGTTCGATCAGCTGTAGGTAGTTGTGATATTCGACTACTGTGTTCACATTAACCTCGTTTGAATAGTCTCGTCCAGTGGTTCTGAGTCAATAGTCGGATTCAGCCACAGGACACGACAGGATGGTGAGATAACCTAAAGGTCCCGTCCTACCAGAATGTGGCTTTTTGTTTTCCATCATTTTAGACGAATTAATTTCTAATCCTTCTATTTTTAGAGGGTGTGGGTTGCACTAAAACCGAGCACGGTAATCTACTGAAGATATCAAAACAGAGTAATGGCCACTGTAATGAAAAGGTACCGCACAAAATATCATCTGGACACGCAATAAAAGCGTCACAAAAGTTTTTCAAGTGATGTCCAGGATACAACGTTATCCAATTTTTTCGTCTCCATCTTCCATTCGTTCTTACTTCAGTTATTTCAAGTCAAGTTCCCGTAAATTCTTATGCCGCCCGCTATCCGGGGACCCACAGTCGTTTAATCCAGTTTCATTCGTCTCGGCTTCCCAAAGGAAAACTTGCTTGGTTGTAGCATATGGATGCATGTGGGGTTTTGCGGAAGGTGTATTGTGCAGTTTCACATCACTCTCGTTTTGGACAACCATTGCAGGGCCATTGGATATGCACTGCTGATGAGCTCCAACAAGAACGAAACCCGAGTCCAGCGCTTTCCCCCCTTCGGTGTGGATTCACATGAATAATTGCGCCAGGACAGGGGGACGACTGTTCAAAACGAGAGTGCTTTGAAACTGAACTATAGTATTTTATTTTGTCTGTTTTTTCAACTCTTCAGGGCATACATCTTTCATAGAAGTGTAGAATTTGTCAATACCTAGCAGTTTTGTAACTTGATGGCTGACCAAGTGCATCCATTGATGAACTTGCTGAGAAGCAGTCTACAAAATTTCAACCGAGAACACTAGTAAACACGCGACATCAATGCCCACAGTAGACGGCAAATCTACCTAACTGATAAAGAAAACCTTTTTTGAAGACATGTATATTTCGTTTCAATAATAGTACCAAACTTCCCTTGTTTGCAGATCACTGAACGCTGCAATTATATGGAGTTGCTCAACGAACTTGGATTTCCCGAGTTTGAGACCCCAGATCATCTTCGACGTCTAAGGGAGCGCTGGAGACCGCGTATCGATGCAAACTCTTCGTTCATGGGCATAGTGTGAAACTTGTTTTCTTAGAACCAAATTCACATGTTATACACTTCAATTAAATGGATAATGCAAAATATGTTAGTGGGCATCCAAAGCCTGTGTCACTTTTTACGTGGAGCACACTATGAGACTGATTTGTTTCATATAACCAGCTGTAATGTTGTAGCTAATTATCCAGAAAATGTTTTCTTTCATCTTTCACGCAGAGACGTTGTTTGTCGGTATAAACTGTGGTGAACTAGTGTTGCTCCATAATCTCTAGGGCTATGGAGCATATCTGCTCGAAATAGCGGCATATTTGGTGGGCCAACACTGGATAATAGAGCTGTGAAACCGAGTTGTTTTGTCTTTTAGATCAGTAGGCCCCTGTATCAGTTGCCTCAAGGGTTTCGGGCTTGGAGCGCATGAATATTGGGGAAGTAGAAACATTTACTTTTCGGAACTTCCAAAAAATAAAAGGATATGGTGGTCGTTGGTTTGTTCGCTGAGCTGGGCAATTTGATTGCAAACGTTTCATCACCAATCGAGGTGACATCATCAGTGCGTTATTGTGGAGCGTAGTAGTGCGCAGCGCTACGCATCATTGATGAGCTGCTGGATGACGTGCGAATTCTGCAACCGTCGAAGCTACTCACAAGTAGTCTGCCGACTGAATCGTATATAGTCTAAGATGACCAAGAAGCAGCTACCATTTCCAAAGCGGACACCAAAATCACTGTTTGGAGACAACCACTATGCTGAACACCGCTCATTTTCTGGACAGATTTCACAAGGTTGTTCATTGTTTGAGAGAGGCTTGTGTGGTGTTAACACAAGGAATAGGACCAGAATTCTTCACAGCTTCAATCACAACGAAGCATACAGCTAAATGCATAAAACAGGGTTAAGGTTTTGCGATCGGTAAAACCTGTCTTCATTTCAGCCGTGGTCAACTTGAAGGCAAGTCACACAAGCTGAACAGATACGAAACGAAGTCCTATTCAGAATGGCATCATGTGATGAAACTAGTAGGTGATGAAGTTCAAAACTACGCAAGAAATTTAGTTAGAAATGTACGTTTGTCATGATGGAGACCGTTCAAGGGGTTACTAGAAACGCCTAGAAAACCACCTCATGAGCAGTTACTTGTATCAGAATACACTGCGATATCTGAAATGTTATACCTACCTTTGTGCAACACATTCAATTGAACAGAGTGATACAGCTGGGATTCAGGTTAGTCTGATGTGATAACCAAATTGATGTGTAAATGTGTGTACTTGAGGAATAACTTTGTGAGTAGTGCATTGTATCTGCAAGGAAAGGCTTCTTCTAGCAATGCAAAGCGGATGATAAAAACGCTGGATATCTAAGTTCATATTAACTTTCGGATGGCCTAGAGACGTTGGTATTCCTGTTAACGCCTGTTGCACGAAGGTGCAACAATTAACATTGTTTAAATATCCCCATGGTTTGAAACAGAACACAGTGACGAACATTAATGTTTTCGGGATCTCGTCATCAGTTCAGTACATATCTAATGGTTGAAATAGGAGCGAAAATGAAATACGCTGTGAAGATCGGTTATTGAAATGCAAAACGTGGAGGCACGAACGATTGGTTGTCTGCGTTCCTCCCATGTCGCATTCAGTTGGATGCTGTGAAACAGTGAAGAGGGCTGTTGAGTGACTTGGCCGGTTGATTCGTGTCACACGACCAAGGCAGATTCGGCGTTCGTACGAAACGTTTTGCAGGCGTGTAGCGATTGCCTCGGCTGTAGTCAAGCAACGCCATTGAATAGATACTGGCAGTCCATTTGGCACACGGTAAATGATTTGAAATGACTCATTTGGCATGACCACGTGTCCGGTGTCAATTAGGTGGGATGCAAGTGAGCTCCTGGCTGAACTGTTGAGGTTAGCGATATTCCGGTAAGAGAGGTGCTCGCGTATTCTCCTAACATTCTGTCAAAGGTTTAGTCCAGTGGATGAAGGGGATGACTTTAGCTGATCTATATGGGTGCACGTATCTTGTTAGCGATCACCTCGTCCACTGACTTATGCTGGGTGTTGATTTGACTATCAGCCAGTGTACATGGTGTGGTTGGTGAAAACCAACCGACTTACTACAAAGCTGGTGGCTACATTTGTAGTTTGGGCACCAAGTCAGAGTAGATGATATTCTTGAATTCTGTGGTGAAGTTACACAGTACAGTACTCTTGAGTTGTCTTGTGTCACGCAGCAATAAAATTAAGGTACTTTTATATTCCTGCGGCAGTATGGCTGACTACACAGAAATAGCTTTCAGCGGCATTCAACCTTAAGCAAGCCCATTATTCTGAAGGATATCTTTGTTCATTTGTACTTGGATATGGGGCGTCAGATAATCGGTATTGGCGCAGAAAACAGGGTTGTAGTAAACTCGTAATAAGGAAGAACTAACCACGAGTCTCGTTCTAAAAATGTCCGCTGCGGTACAGCATGAATACGAACTTAAGACCGGTAATAACAAACTGTGGCAACTCGTAGGTCCGTGGGAATGCATTCGATATGGTAGTCTCTGCGTGACAACCCATGCAGTATGTCTGTACTCTAAAGGGACAAAGAGAATAGACGAAACTGTATATGGGGGTAGCCCAAGGTGGAAAAGGTCCGCGAGGTTAGGTAGACTATTTGGGGTAAACAAAGGAACAGTCGCAAATGGACACCAGTATACCGAGCGCACTATCACAAATGCACGCTTACAGTCTCACTTATCATACAAGAAATGGATTATGGCCAGAGGACGAAAGAGAAAAGGTTCGGCAGGGAATCGCATACAGATGAAAACAGTCTTGTATATGTTTTGGATATAACGGTCTTGGATAGGTGCTAGTGAGGACGAATTGATCACCTTGTTCGAGGTCAGGTCGTGGGGGCCTTGAGTCCGCCCTAACTGTTCACGTTCAATCACAGGCAAGGCGGAGTTTCCCTTCAAGTCACATCGGGAACAAGCTTAAAAATCTATCACACATAGTTAGACCTGGTAGAGATGAGTGCGAGACATACACTGGAACTTAACCGTCCGTTGTGTAAATTGAGGGCCGACGGTGGTGCTGCATAAAAAAGGAGGAAAAGAAACAACGGCGGGACTACAGGCATGAGTACCTAGCGTTAGAATGAGATAACGTAAAGTTTGGACATGTTGATTTAAATACGATATCAAAAGCGCCATATTTTTTGCCCAATCCTCCTTTACTGTTCGGCCACGGTTTCTAGAAGGAGCTAGCCACACTTGGTAGAAACCAACGTTGTCGTAGAAAAGACCACGTATCCAAGCCCTTTACAGCATGGCCCCCAGCTAAGCTGATACATCCCCAATTGTTCTCGACTGCAGGAATGGGGTTACGTGACTAACAGCTCTTCTTCCAAAGGTAGTTTCTGTGAGCTCTCAACATGGTTTGGTCAACAGCAGGGTTCCTTTTCACAAACAATCTAGCTTTGGAATAGTTTGTATCTGATTTATCGGATTTTGTACTACCTTTTACACACACATACATGTGAACTTGCCAGACTACGCATGCGACTGCTGTCCAGCATGATATAAGTTTGCGACAACAGATAATAGGCGTTGTCCGTCATCTTTGTTCCTAAAAATAATTCCGTGGATACATTTGTTTGCCATTGGGAGGTTCGATGCTATCAGATGTCTTGTTGAAGCCTAATAGATTCAAACCGGCGACATATCCCTAAACCAGATCAGGGCCTGACACCACTGTAAGAATCATTATGTTCATTTACAGACGGTACAAATTGTTCTGATGAGAGACAGAGCTCATCATACAACGCTCTTGCGTGTATAAACTTTGACCAAAGTGCTCTTAGCCAACCATTGCGCTTCAGTGACGCTGATAAGGTTATTGAAAGTACTGTTGCTCCAGTCAGCCAAACATGCCCCTACTAGAGATAGCTGTGTAAGTGCAAATTTCTTATGAAAAAAGCAAAGTTCCACAAAATCCTTAACGAAAGAAGTGCATGTGAAAAGTGATCTTTTATTACACTAGACAAAAGATTTCGAAGAACAAATATCTTTGAATGGTTTTGAAGTATCACCTAACTAATCTCGCGTGACAGACTTGGAGGCGATTGGCATAGAAAGGTTACAGTAACAAAATTAGTCATCATTCGCACAGACTAAGGAGCGGCCAAACACGGAAACCACACCCGAGCGACACAAAGCAAGTATTGTTTAATTTTTCATCTATGTTCGCTTGATTCCGAAGAATGAACTGCAACCCAAGTATAGGAGGTACGCAAAACAAGCCTTATTCTATAGACTCATGAGTGTGCAAATATGCTCTTTTTATTTACATTTTACCAGCAGACCATTTCCTCGATCTGTATGAGCCTGAAAGTGTGTGGCTAAATTTTTGTGAATGCCAGGATGACACGCTTAAGGGAGCTGTTTACCTAACCGTAGGAGAAATCCATCCACAAAATTTGCTTGGCTAAGCTGTCAGTCAACTAAGTCGTGAACCCAAGAGAGAGAGAGAGAGAGAGAGAGAGAGAGAGAGAGAGAGGGACGACGGCGAAATTGCGTGGCGTGCTCGCGAATCGATCTTGCTGAGCAACCATATCAAACATATATCAGGGCACTGAGATTGAAAAGAAAGAAAATTGCGCTTCAAGGGATATCCCGATCTCAAAATGGAGTCAATCTGTCCTGAAGATTTACATAGGATTCCTTCTCACTGGGAATCACTTCATGCGCAAATTTTCGCGCTATTAAGAGCCAGTAACACTCGGTTTACATCTGGACACTAGACCCTTCGCTCACGAGCGTCTCAACATATTAGTTTATAAGGGGGTTTAGGCGTTTCACATTGTTGCTTCTCCAACCTAGTACTGCTTGATATTTATATTTTCACGTGATTAGGTTCTTGAATAAGTGTTTTCAGGTCAGTTTATTGAACCATGTGCGACTTGAAATGCTTTGTGGCTCACACCCATTGCAATTGACAGAATCGGTGGGCTTGATCACGCTTCTGACGAATCGGTTCACCATTCTTCCTGCGTTGTGTTCTATCTTCCTTTTGATTTGAAAGGTTATCCTAACGCCTTCCGTTTCAAGTAGTGTTCACAATGTGCATTGCGCATTAGCCTTATTTTCTTGCGTTTGTTGTGCTTTCCCGTTTTTTAGACTGTATCCCTGTAACTTATGTTCGGTTTGTTATACAGAACCCAGTTCACACATGTCGTAGTGCAGCGTTCGATGTATCACAACAAAGTTACGCCAGAATTAGAGTTTATCTAAGCAGAACTACCATTTGCAGTGCCACAATGCACTTCTAACCAAAAACGCCACGCCTATT